CAGGTTATTTCTTTGTGCCTTCAATTGGCTTTATGCAGTGTAAATTGGGATAGCTGAGGAGCTGATGTGTACTCTGTGAAGCAAGGTGACAGGTCCGTGTTATCCCACCAAGTGACTGCCTGAGGCAGGCAGGATGCGGAGCTGTGCTCCACACTGTTGGCAGGGACTGAGCCTGGAGAAAGAGGCTATGACTCCCCAGGACATAAAGGATTATACATCAGAACTGAAACACTGACCCCAAATTATTAGACACTCCCTCGGTTGTGTTATGCGGATTACTTTCTGCATTTCTTGCCTTCTGCATATCACAAAGGTGATCTCAGACCTCCTACCTAACCCAGCTCACAACAGTCACGGATTGCCTACCAGTGTGTCACTCATCCCTGAGCCACTCCTCTCATGGAGAATTAATAAAATCCGGGTTGGGCTCTGGGTCATGGCCTTTGTTCTGGTGAATCACCATCTTGGCTGGACTTATGACCCCCTGGCTCCCCATACCTGTGTGTATGGCTTAGTGTCTTTATTCTCGCTGTGGGTTGCACTGGAAGTGTTAATTTGGAATTAACTCACTAGAATTCCAATAACTTCTCCATGGAATTAAAAACATAAACCTTCCTGGACACCAGTGAGGAAGGGAAAGAGACCTCTATAGAGCTCAATATGTAGCCCAGACTGGTCTTGAATTCTCAGCGAGCCTCCACCTCAGCCTCCCCAATACAAGGGTTGCAGGTCTGTGCCACCATGCCTGATGCATGAAAACTATTTGTTTTAAATAACAAATTTTTGAAAGATAATTTTATTGGTAAACTTTTGGTGTACACAATGATCACAGCCATAATAGGGAATTTGTACCTGTGTGTTAATTTTGCCCCACTCCCTTCAGTACTTCTTCCCTTTCCCTTTACAAATCTTTGTTTCTGTTGTTTTCCTTCCATTCTTCATTATTTTTTCTTTATTCCTTCCCTTCCCTTCCCTCTTCCCCTTCCCCTGTTTCTTTTTCCAGTTGAACATTTTATTCCCACTTCCCAATATTTTGGTCCTTATTTACCCTTTGAGTTTCTCACAGAGAAACTATGCAATATTTAAACATGTGTGTTTGACTTATTTTATTTAAAATTATGGTCTCAAGGCACATCCATTTACCTAAAAATGTCTCAAGCTTATTCTTCTTCATGGCAGAGTCATACTCCACTGTACTTTAAAAAACAGATTATCCATTTATCTGTTGATAAGCATTGGGCTGTTTCCAACATCTAGCTATTACAAATTGTGTGCTATAAACATGAGCATGCATGTATCACTGTAGTGTGGTGTTCCATAGCAATTTTTGTAAAAAATGAAGGATGAATTCCCCATATTTTATCAATTTTCTGTAATGTGTACATGTCTTTTTTTTTTTTAGACAAATCCTCTCTGAATTGCCCAGGTTGGGCTTGAACTTTTGATTCTCCTGTCTCATTTTTATTTTTCAAAAATAGCTATTACTCTTTCAGTAAGTTAAAGAGCCCTCATTTGTACATGCATTTAATGGTTGGTTTGAGTCTGTTGTGAAGCTCACTGCCAAGCGACGTCTGCTGAGACAGGGGAAACAGATAGCTGATGGTTCTCAGGTGGGAAAAAGTGGCTGGGATGAGGCAGGTCAGGGGACCTGGGGTCCTAGACAGTCCGGACTGTGGGGGACGTGGGTAGGAGGAAGAATGAGGGCTCCTCAGTCGTTAGCACAATGCTGAGCCTGGAGGACTCAGCTGAAAAACCAGTGGCTCCCTTGAGCGCCTCAGAGCTCAAATTTCCACTCTCCCCTGGAGTTGAGAAATGTGACCTGCTTTGTCTCTCTGAACTGTCTGGGGACTTCTAAATTTACTATCTTTTTTGTTTTCCTCAAAGGAGATCTTTGAGCCACCAACAGAATGGAAAGACAATCCACAGAATGGGAAGAAAAATTTGCCAGTTGCTCCTCAAAGGACTAATATCTAGAATACATAAAGAACTAAAAAAAAAAAAAAAAAAAAATTGAACTCCTCCAGATTTAAAGACCCATTTGAAAATGGGAATCTAAACTGCATAGACACTTCTCTGATGAAGAAATACAAACAGCCAATAAATGCATTTTAAAAGTGTTCAACATTGCTGGCCATTCAAGAAATGCAAATTAAAGTAATACTGAGATTTCACCTCAGCCCAGAAAGAACGGCTGTCATCAAATCAACCAATAACAAATGTTGGAGAGGCTACAGGGAGAAAGGCACTTTCCTCCACTGTTGATGCCAGTGTAAACTGATGCAATCACTGCGGAAATCAAAAAACTAACAGTAGAGGTTCAGTTTGACCTAGTTATTCCCCTTTTAAGTATCTGATCAAAGGAATTAAAAGCATCAAGGGCGGGGGATTTAGCTCAGTGGTGTAAGCGCCTGCCTGGCAAGCTTGAGGTTGTGAGTTTGATCCCCAGCTCTGCCAAAAAAAAAAAAAAAAAAAAGGAATTAAAAGCATCATACCATAGTGGTGTATGCATACCTGTGTTAATAACAATACAATTCATAATAGCTGAATCTTGGAAATAGTCTATATGTTCATCGACAGATGAATGGAAAAAATATAGTATTTATATATAATGGAGAACTGGTCAGACCCACAAGCTCCAATATAACATGGTTTCTCTTCTATGAAAAATTCAACATATATTAAGTATGAAATAAAAGACATAACAGAGAGAGAAAGAGAGGAGTTATTTTAATTGAGAGGACAAAGTATCTAAAAGTATACATTGATTGAGTACAGTTTTCTTACATATCTTTTATGTTCTTTAGCCTATTAGGCTGATTTTCAATCTGTAAATGTGATAATTAACTTTATAAGTTCTTGTAAGATAAATTAATGAGTCTAATGCTGGAAAAATAAAAGGTAGATAGAAGGAAGGAGGAAAAAAGAATTGAAATGTGTTACATACACCTACCAATCCCCTACAGTGAATGTAGTAATTGTTTATGCTAAACATGTACTAATGAAAGTTTTTTTTTTAAATTGGTACCAGGGATTGAACTTGTGACTGTCTGCTTACTAATCAAAGTTTTTTAAAAAGTACAATAAACAAATTAAATAAAAAGATTTTTAAAAAAGAGGAAGACTTCTGATCCCAAATAGGACACTGGGCAGAAATGAGACAGAGGTTGCCTAGCAGCTATTAACACAAATACCTGAGAGCATTTCTCTCCTTTGGAGAAAATGTAACCCCTGTTGGTGTCCAGTGGTGGTGCACACTCCTTAAATGGCTGACTTAATCATTAAAAATATGGACTTTATCAATAAAAATGATATAGTAAGTTGAAGATTTCTAGAAGCTCAGCAAGAAAGCGTAATACCTCAAATAACTACATTCTTCTTTTGAGATTTTTTTTCACAAATATTTTTGAATTTATGTTACTAAAGTAAACAAGAAGGGAAGACAGAGTTACCTTCAAACATACTAAAATGAATGCCTGGCAGCAGGCATGATGGTACATCCTGTAACTCAAGCATTTGGGAGGCTGAGGCAGGAGGATGACTAAGTTTGAGTTTAGCCTGGGCCACATAGTGAGACTCTATCTCAAAAACAAAGCAGTAAGTGGACTGGGGATGTGCTCAGTGCTAGAGACTTGGCTGGTGTAAGCAAGCCCCTGGGTTTGATTTCCAAACTCATCCCCCAGACACAAAATACACCAAAATATAAAATAAAATAAGCAACTACTTCAATGTTTTTTTTTTTTACTTAACAGTTTTGTTGGGACAAAATTTACATTCCACACAATTCATCCATTTAAAATGTACAGTTTGCTGGGGTATACTGTGGGGGTAGGGTGTGTGTTTAGCATGTAAGAGCATAGGTTCAGTTCTCAGCACTTAGGGAAAACACTCAAAAATGCCCTCTGCCCATCACAACTGCTCCCCATTACCTTCTAACCCCCCTGCCCTCAGCAAGCACTGCGCTTCTCTGTTTTTATGCATTCTCCTATTGTGGGTACTTCATATGCATGGAGTCCTACAGCATGTGGCCTTTGGTTCCTCCTTTCTTCCCTTTTTTGGGGAAGGTCCAAGGTCTCCTTACGTAGCCCAGACTGGCCTTAAACACAGAGTGATCCTCCTGCCTCAGCCTCCTAAGTGTTGTGCTGTAACAGCCCACTTCAGAAAGTCACCCACAGAGAAACCGAGATTTGAGAAACAAGTGAGACTTATTTCTTTCTTTTTTTTTTTTTTTTTTTTTTTTTGTCATTTTCCTTTTTATCGGTACCAGGGATTGAACTCACAACTGCCTGCTTGCAAGACAGGCGCTTATGCCGCTAAGCTAAATCCCCAGCCCCAAGAGAGATTTATTTCAAAAGCTGCAGCATTGAAGCTGCTGGCTGGCCCTGATTTCCTTGTTCTCTTTCCTTATATACCCCTATATGAGTCCACAAGGTCAGGGAGTTACCACGGATAATACACACACACACACACACACACACACACACACACACACACACACAGAGAGAGAGAGAGAGAGAGAGAGAGAGAGAGAGAGAGAGAGAGATAGCGTCTATGTGAGAGGGACAGACAGACCCACAGACAGAGGGGTTCCCAATGGGTTGCCCTGGATACCACCTTTTTGCAACACTATCATTGCTTTGGAATGTTACCAGACAGTCTTACACATCGGGTTAATTGACACACAGAATGTGGGCACTGAGCAGTTTGGTCACCTGGAGATAAACAGGGTTGTTCTCCTTTTCATAGTTTTTATGGCCAATTAAGGGGAAGGAGGCCTTGGAGGAGGTTGGCCAAAGTTCACTTGCTGTTCAAAGTCTAATTGCTAGCCAAGCACCTAAGCTATAATCTACAGACTATAAAATAGTAAAGTTTTTAAGACTACAGTTGAGGTGGGGGGAGTTTCAAAGAGAAAGGGACAAAGAAGAAAGTAAATAGTGGGAGTTAGGAGTTCCCTCACTTTGCCAACACACCCGGCCTTTGTTTCTTTTACTTGATGTAATGCTTTCCATACTCTTCCACCGGTGTAGCAGGTATCAGTACTTGACGCCCTTTGATTGCTGAATAATATTCCATTGTATGCTGTGCGAAACAGCATTAACACAGTAAGTTTCAGATTGCTAATGTTAGAGCAGCCTGCTCAGCGGGAAAAGGAGGATTTTGGAAGATTCTCACTTTTCCCTAGGGTTTACCTTGCCTTAACCTGCTGTGTTACACTCTGGTTGAAGCTCTTCCCACACTTTCTTTGCATAAGAATGCAATCTAGATGTGCTATGTGATGATTGCTACAGGTCAGCCCCAGGGGAAGCCGGGCAGGAGGGGCTAATGATTCCCCTGCATCTTTCCCACAGGCTCCTGGAGGGCACAGCCTTGCCCTGGGGTACCCCACTGGAATAGGATGATTAGCTGGTGCTGTTCTCTCCTGATCCCCCCAATCCCCAGTCCTTTTGGCCTCTGATCCTTTGATCTGCACCCTTTGCTGTAAGAAGTCTGAGTCACACACAGGTATGGCCCTATGCTGAGTCCTGAGATTCCTTCTAGTGAGCCATCAAATACGGGGGTGATCTTGGGAACCTCGGAAATGTATGCATACACTGCTTTTCTTCAAAGCCAGAGACTGTTGTTGGTGGTTTTCTTGATCCTGGCCATTCTTTCAGGAGTGAGATGGAATCTCAGTGTGGTTTTAATTTGCATTTCTCTGATGAGTAATGATGATGAACATTTTCTCGTGTATTTATTTGCCATTTGTATTTCTTCATCTGAGAACTGTGTGTTCATCTCAGATGCCCATTTTTGGATTGGATCTTTGGATTTTGAGTGTCTGATTTTTTAAATTCTTTATATGTTTTAGACAGAAGTCCTTTGTCTGAGGGACAATTCACTAAAAATTTTCCCAGTTTGTGGGTTTTCTTTTTACTATGCTAGAGATTTCTTTTGATGTGCAGAAACTTTTTAATAAGACATGATCCCAGTTATTGATTCTGGGGAGTATTTCCCGTGCAGTTTGATTCCTGTTCATGAATTCTCTACCTACTATGTCTTCAAGGTTTTTACCGAATTTGTCTTCCAATAGATTTAGTGTTCCTGTTTTAATATTCAGATTTTTGATCCATTTAGATTTTAATTTAGTATATGGTGATAGGCATGGGTCTAGTTTTAGTTTTCGGCATATGGAGAGCCAGTTTTTCCAGTACCATTTATAAAGAGACTGTTGTTCTTGCAGTGAATATGTTTGGCCCCTTTATCAAAGGTAAGGTGGTTGAGTGTGTTTGTAGTTGTGGTTGTATCTTCTAATCTATTCCACTGATATTCAGCTCTGTTTTTATTCCAGTACCATGTTGATTTTACTACAGTTACTTTGTAGTATAACTTCAATATCAGAAACTGAACCGATAAGACTTCACACAGAACTATATATATATTTTTTGACACCAAACCACATTAATGGTGAAAGGTTTTGGCCCAGACAGGACTCTGTAGCCAGGAAAGCCACAACCAGAAGCAGGAAGCCCCATCTTGCCCTGCCCCTAGGAAGTTACCTGTGACGCCATCTTCCCGCCCCTGGGAATTTACATATGGCGCCAAACCTAGGACCAATGGGCTACCTGTGTATCCCTAATGCCCGCCTTAGGTTCCACCCCAAACCGAGGCTATTTACAGGCCCCCACGCCACGTGTCCGCCGGAGAGATCACCGGACGCCAGCAGTGGGGGTGCTGGTCATCTCTCTCCGTGTTCTCAGAATAAAGGCCGCTTTTTATTTTATATTTCTCATCTTTTGTTAATATTTTTCATCTTTTGGAAATAACTCTATCAAATGGGTCTTTTTATTTTTTACTGTGAGACTGAATCTCACTAAGTCACTAAATTGGTGAGGTTGGGCTCAAATTTGAGATTCCTCTGACTCAGTCTCCCACAGTGCTAGAATTACAGGTGTGGACCACTACACTCAATTCTTTATTTATTCTTCATTTTGCCATACTTGGAATTGAACCCAGGGCCTCCTGCATGTTAGGCAAAGATTTCACCACTGATCTATGCCTTAACTGCCTGGATATATCTCAGTGTACTTTATGCATTCAAGGTTGATGGACACTTGGATTATTTCCTCTTCTTGTTTATTACAGACAACGCTTCATTAACATTCATGCACAATTTTTTTTTTTTACTTTAAGGAGGAGAAAACTAAACAGAAATCGACCGAAGCAGATCAGAATAAAACAATGTAAGTGACACAGATTTCAAAGCAAAACAACAGATCTCCAGTGGCTACCAAAATGTCTCTTGTTTTCTTCTAAATAGTTGTTCATATCTTCACACACAATGAATTCATACAAAACAAAGTAGTATTAAACTGATCAGAACAGTGATGAAGACATTATAGGCCTTCAAAACCAGACTAGGAAAATCAACAATGGCTGCCATAATGTCTCTTGTTCTCTTCAAAATAGCTGTCAATACCTTCATGTATGTTGAAATTAAACAAAACAAAACAGACTAAAATCACTCTGAACAAAGAATAAAAGCATTACTGGGTTTCACAGCATGATGATACAGAATCAGTAATGGATACCAGAATGTCTTTTTTTCTTCAAAGTAGTTGTTCATTTCATCACATGTAATATAATCGATTCTTGTAAACTTTAGGAGAAGTTCTATGCATGTATAAGCCTCTGTATATATATACACCTATCCTTTCTGTATTAGAGGGAAAACCAAACCAAACCAAACCAAATTACTAGAAAAACACAAAACAAAAAAGACAACTAATAACAATAGCAAAGAGCCCAAAACAATGACGATATAGGCCTTCAAAACAAGGTGGTAGGAGCACAACTAGGGTTGTTATTTTATGTAATGATTTTCAAGAGTTCCTTAATCACCAGACACTAGCATGGAAAATTGTTTCAACCCTATGAATGTTAACTGTTTTATTCTAAGAACTTATAGAATTTGTAGCACAATCATTTTAGCTATCCTAAATATGTTTATAATTTTAGATATTTTTTCTTTTCCCTTCCATTTATTTTTCCTCCTTTTCCCTAAGATATTATTTTTCTGCCTTTGACCAGATTCTTATCCTTTCACTGTATTTATTGGGGAGTTTGTATCTTATGTACTCTTACCATTTCTTACACTAGAGAGACTATATGCATTTATACATGTGAGTTTGATTTATTTCACTTATGAGTGTGGTCTCAAGTTGCATCCATTTATTTATAAATATCTCAATGTGATCATTCTTTTTTTTTTTTTTTTTTTTTTTTTTTTTTTGGTACTGGGATTGAACTCACAACCTTGTGCTTGCCAGGCAGGCGTTTATGCTGCTACACTAAATCCCTAAAGTGATCATTCTATATAGTACATTGTATAAAAATATCACAACTTTTTGATGGACATTTAGGTTGTTTCCAAGATCTGGCTATTACAAATTGTGCTGCTATAAACATGGGTGCACATACATCGCTGTGATATTATGTTTTCAGTTCTTCTGGGAATATGCCCACAAGTAGAATAGTTGGGTCAAATGGGACTTCCAATCCCAGGTTTTTGAGGAATTTCCAGACTGACTTCCCCAGTGGTTACACCAGTCTACACGCCCACTAACAGTGCAGAAGAGTTCATTTCCCCCCATAGCCTCTCCAGCATTTGTTGTTGATAGTTTTCTTTATCCTGGCCATTCTTTCTGGAGTGAGATGGAATCTTTGTGTAGTTTTAATTTGCATTTCTCTAATTCTAGGGAGCCATTTAAGGTGGAGATTGGTCACATGTGTGGGACTAAAGCAAGGCTAGCCCAGAAAAAACAGAGCACTCAAAACAAGCCACCTAAACAAGCTGTTCCAGCCCAAGAAGGCAGGAGACCTGGGCCTGCCACCCAATGGGCTGCTAGGCAGAGGGGCTGAAATTGACATCATCTTTCCCGGAATATAAATAAAGGTACTACAGTGGTTGAGTAGTTCCTTTCCTCCCATCAGGAGGATAAGAGCTCCACTTGACCCTAGCTTTGTCTCTTCTTTATTTTTCTCATCCTCTCGCTGGTCCTTAACCCCAAGAACTCAGGAGCTGCATTGGGTTACAGCATCTAATGTCCAATGATGCTGAACATTTTTTCATGCATTCATTTGCCATTTGAACTCTGTATTCATCTCAGATGCTCATTTTTGGATTGGGTCTTTGAATTTTGGGGATCAGATTTTTTAAAATCCTTTATATGTTCTAGACAGAAGTCCTTTGAGGCACAGTTGGCTAAAATTTTTTCCCAATTTGTGGGTTTTCTTTTCACTATGCTGGAGATTTCTTTCAACATACAAAAACTTTTTAATAAGACATGTTCCCAGTTATTGATTCTGGGAAGTATTTCTCATGCAGTTTAATTTTTGCTCATGAATTCTCTACCTACTCCTATGACTCCAAGATTTCTACCTACTTTGTCTTCCAGCAGATTTAGTGCTTCTGTTTTAATTCTTGCACGATTTTTGTTTTCATTTCTTCTTAGTAGTTATATAAACAATTTGAACAGCCAGGTGTGGTGGCAGTTGGGAGGCTTTGCCACCAGTTTAGGTCTGGGCTACATAAGGAGTCCAAGACCAGCCTAAATTATATAGCAAGATCCTGTCAAGAAACAAAACAAAACAAAACACACAGAATTTGGCTTTGTCCTTGATTCCTGGAAGAGAAGGAATTCTAAACCGTCAAACTTTCCCAAGTAACGAGTGTCTTTCATATTTACAAACTTCTGGGATTACAGCTGATCCAGTTGGTAGCATTGAGTTGACTCTCAGTGGGAACCCAAGATAGCTTTAGGGAGGGGATTGGATGTGTGATTAACATGTTAGTGTTTGGAATCTTGTGGATTTCGCAGTCTCCTGGGAGGGAAGGGAGGGAAACCAAACTGGGAATTGAGTTCATTCCCACTGATGAACACTGATTCAGTTTATGCTTTTAATGGAGCCTGTATAAAACCTTCAGAGCCCCAAGTCTCACTGGAGGCCTCAGTTAAGATAATATCTCTGCTTGTAGATACGGGGGCGACTTATAGTGTACTTCTTGAATTTTCAGGACCTTGTAGCAAGTCCTTGATTTCTGTTGTGGGCGTTGATGGCCAGCCTACCCAGCCTTTGCAAACTGGGCCTGTCCCATGTCGATTCCAGACTCTTTCTTTACCCATAGCTTCCTAGTAATCCCAACATGTCCCACACCTCTTTTAGGTAGAGACCGTCTTCAAAAGCTTAACTTCTCCTTTACTTTCTCTCTCCCCACAGCCCTAATCCTCCAAACAGCCTCACAATGCATCGCAAAGCCATTCCCTCCCCTTCCTCCTCCTCTGGTCGATTCCATAGTTTGGGACACCTCCAATGGCATTCTTACTACACATGCTATGCCTGTTCTAATCCGTCTCAGGGATCCCTCTATTTTTCCCTGTGTTCCCCAATACCCCATAGCTCCCCAACATTTAAGGGGACTTAAACCCATAATTAAGCGCTTTTTGGACAATGGTTTTCTTAAACCTACCCATTCACCCCACAATACTTCCATTCTCCTGGTACTCAAGCCTGATGGGTCCTATCACCTGGTACAGGACCTTAGGGTAATCAACAGTGCTGTTACCCCAACTCACCCAGTCATGCCAAATCCCTATACCATGCTCTCTCATATCCCTCCCTCCACCACTCACTTTACAGTTACAGATCTTAAAGATGCCTTCTTCACTATCCCCCTACACCCTGATTGCCAGACCTCTTTGCATTTACATGGACTAACCGAGACACTCTCAGGTCTCAACAACTTACTTGGACAGTGCTCCCCCAAGGGTTCAGAGATAGTTCCCACTTCTTTAGTCATACTCTCGCTACTGACCTCACAGAACTTGATCTCAAATCTAGTGTTCTTCTTCAATACATAGATGACCTTCTGTTATGTTCTCCATCCCATATGTTAACCATACACCATTCATCCAGTCTTCTTTTAATTTCCTTGCTATTTGTGGATACAGGGTCTCTCCTGCTAAAGCACAGATAGCCTCCACAAAAGTCAAATACCTAGGTCTCGATCTCACTCCCACCACTCATTCTATCACCTCAAATCATAAGGCAATTCTTCGTGATCTCCAGGTGCCTACAACTAAACAACAGGTTATATCTTTTCTAGGTTTAGCTAATTTCTTTCATCTCTGAATTCCTAATTTTGCAGCCCTAGCTCAACCCCTCTACAAGGCTGCTAAGGGTCACTTATCAGAATCCCTGGACCCTACTAGGCCCATACATGCCCCTTTTATAAATTAAAAGAGGCTCTCCTAAAAGCTCCAGCTCTTACCCTTCCTGATCCCACCCAACCTTTCACCCTATACACCACTTCTCAGGGCCACAATGCTATAGGTATACTAGGACACAAAAAGGGACCTTCTTTTCAAGCAGTAGCTTACTTGTCAAAAGAGATCACACAGTAAAAGGATGGGCTCCTTGTCTCTGAGCTCTTGCAGCTGCAGCCCCCCTGACACAGGAAGCTAAGTTTACATTAGGGCAAACTATTACAGTACACTCACCTCATCACCTATGTGAGCTTATCTCACATAAGGTGCTCCCTGCCCTAATGACCCCTTCTTGCCTTCAACAGGTACACTTAGCTCTCTCTCAAGACCCTTGCATCTCTATTGCAACTAGTGGTCCTCTTAATGTAGCAACCTTACTTCCCACTTCAGAGGGCCATACTCACCATGACTGTATTGAATTCTTACAGATGACTCCAACCCCTTTCCCTCACATTAGTAGCACACCTCTCTCTTCAGCCTTTGACACATGGTTCATAGATGGCAGTTCCACAAACACAGACAACCAAAAGAAGGCAGGATACGCAATAGTTAACCAGTCGAAAGTTATAGAGGCAAATCCACTGCCACCTGGCACCTCATCGCAGAGGGCAGAACTTATTGCCCTTACAAGGGCTCTTACATTAGCAAAGGACAAGATTATAAATACATACACTGACTCAAAGTATACATTTAGCATTTTACACTCTTATGCCTCTACCTGGCAAGAACGGGGTTTTATTACCACTCAGGGAATCCCCATCATTAATGCTCCCCTTATCCTTAAACTTCTAGAGGCAGCCCAACTTCCAAAGCAGGCAGCAGTTATTCATTGTAGAGACACCAGAACTCTACAGATCCTATTGCTCAAGGCAATGCCTTTGCAGACTCACAAGCCAAGTTAGCTGCACAAGGGCCCTGCCCTTCTCATCTTCTCCCATTAGTCCCAAACAGTCTACCTGAGCCTAATTATTCACCAGAGCAGTTACAGCTACTTCATAAACCAGGTTACACACAAAACACTCAGGGATGGATTTTTCAGGGATCTAAACTTGTTCTCTCACATCAACAGGCCTTAGACATCATCACTGACTTACACAACTGTTTTCATATAGGATCACAGGCCCTATACAAACTCTTAGCCCCAATAGTCACACACCCTTCTCTAAAAGCTATCATTCTTAAGATTACTCACACCTGTTATCTCTGTGCTAGGACCTCTCCTCAGGGATGTATGGCATGCCCTTCCTTTCCTACCCATCAGTTTTGAGTACACACCCCTGGTCAGGACTGACAGATTTTACACACATGCCCCACCACAAAACTCTCAAATATCTTCTCACCTAGCCTTTCCCACAACCAGGGAAACTGCTGATGTAGTTACCAAAGTCATATAACAAGAAATCATTCCAAGGTTTGGTCTAACTCAGAGTATTCAGTCAGATAATGGTCCCGCCTTTATTTCTCAGATCACTCAACAGGTATCCTCAAGCTTACACATCAGCTGGCACCTACACATCCCATACCATCCACAATCCTCAGAGAAAGTAAAAAAGGCAAATGGCCTCATAAAGACACACCTTACAAAACTCACTTTAGAACTATACTAACCTTGGCCTCAACTTTTGTCCTTAGCCTTAGCCAAGCTCAGGGCACTCCCCCAGGCTCTTATCTTCTTAAGTCCTTTTGAACTTATGTACGGCAGGCCATTCTTACTCCACAATCTTCCTACTCCCCAAAATCTCCCTCCCCTTGCTGACCATGTTCCAGTCCTCTCCTTCCTCCGACATTTGTTGCAACAACATGCTGATCTCTGCCTTCCACAACCCTCTGGAGAGGCCAAACCAGATCCTCCCATATCCCCAGGAGATCTAATTTATCTCAAATGTTCTAGAACCAAGGTGGCCCCTATTTGGTCTACTTGATGATCCCTACAGCGGTCAAAGTTGCTGGACTCCCATCCCAGTTTCACATCACTCAGGCTAAGAGGTGCCCTCCCAGCCCTAAATCTGATCATTCTGAGTGGTCATCACATCTTCTGTCGCCCACCGGTCTCCGTTTCATGAAGGTCTCGCAGCACAGTTAACAGGTTAAGTCATGTTTTGTTATCCACTTTGGTTCCTAGTTTCTTACGTTCTATTAATGATCATTTTTACAGCAGGGCTCTTAACAGTATTTCCTACAGACTCCAACATCATGCATACCAGAGACAAGCCTTACCTACCTACCTTTTTAACTTTTACCCTTTCAGATGGGGGTGTAAGCACCTCTCATAACTTCACTCCTCCTAACCACACACTTATTTTTCAGAATTCTACCTCACCATGACAATGATCCTACCTCAATGTAGTCCTGATATAATGACATGTCTATATCAAAGGCATTTTTCCTTTTACCCCACCTGGGTCCTTAAATATGACAGTGTCATGTCTCCTCATAACATCTTGTCTCTTTGTTTTTCCAGTCTAACATACGTGCATTCACCAGTGAAGTTGTCCTGGCTAAAAAACCTGGCACCAGCGTCTACCTGGGCATCAACTGTCATCCTGTCGGGGCTGGGGATTTAGCTCAGTGGCATAAGCGCCTGCCTTGCAAGCAGGCAGTCGTGAGTTCGATCCCTGGTACC